AACGTCTCACATGCTCCACTTTTCACGGCCCCTAAGCAAGTGAGGAATGTTGAGGTGCGAGCGAGTTCAAGTGTTCACAACATTTCATGCGCTACTCATATGATGCTGCTACACCTTTGCGTTGTGCCGTCGACGTGCGTGTGACTGACCCTCTCTCACTCTTGCCGTCACCCACCAACCCCCGGTTGGTCGTCCGCAGGCAGTCGCAGAGAAAGCTCGGTAATTCAATCTGCCCCCGCCCCCCCCACCTTGTGACATCAATTATCGTGACCCTGAAGACGATGTGTGTTTTCATACCCGGTGAAATAGGTCATGCCAAAACCAATCCTTATTTCAAGTCGGGGCGTTTATGTGCTTAGTGTTTGTGTGACCGGAGCGAGCAGAGGAAAAGGCTCGTTTATTTCTCAGGGGAGCATCTGAAAACCAAACTGTGTCACATCACTAAAAAACTACAGACGCCCTGCAGCTCCTTGTGTCCTTGTTAGAGAAACTACACCCGAATCCTTTCTGCTCACATGTGACCACACAGACTCTGCGGGTGCTGGAGCATCCATGTTACCTCTTTTTCACATTTTGTGTTGAATGAACACGTGTTATTTGTGGAGATTGATTTATTGATTGATTAACTGTTTGTTCGTTGCGGTTTGCTGAGTCGGAGGATTCACAGTGGAAACTGTTCCACCTCGTCGTTCGACTGTAAAGGAGAAAACAACACACGTTGATTAATGACTCGATAACACAACGTGTTCACTAATGTAGAATTAAAGCAACACTAAGGAACAGTAAATTTAAATCTGTCCGTCAACTTATCTCTGTCTGTGGGGGGTTGAATGGACAGACGGATGGATGAACAAGATGTGTAAAATAGGGAATATAAATGTGAGTGATTTAGCTGCAGGAGAGCGACAGTGTGAGTCGTCAGCTTCACTCTTGTCGGTCATGAGACTGTGTTTAAAACTTTTAAGATAACTGTGGGCTCTTTGTTTTAAAGTACATTGAGTTTGGGTGTTTGTGGACATTTAGAAAAACAAATCATATTTAGAGACAGTCCACTGTCACCGTTACATAACAGAGACACAGATCCACAGTGTCTGTGGAAGGAAGAGAAATAAAGAGAAACCAAATAAAGGAAAGTGAATAAAGAGAATTAGTTAACACGCGTGTGTGTGTGTGTTTTATAATGACTGTTCAAATCCGACAGAGCGTTCTAACATCCCACCAACATCATGTGATCGACTGTGTGTGTGTGTGACTTTGTGCTCTCTGACCCGAATCCTAAAGTAAGTCAGGCACAGGAGGCAAGTGTGTGTGTGTGTGTGTGTGTGTGTGTGTGTGTGTGTGTGTCGTTAGAGTCTCATTTTTCTCAAGAACACTCGTGGGCACAGGCAGGGCCAGTAACGAGGGGAGATGGGAGAAGACGAGGGAGGGAGGAGCGATGATGCAGCCGCTCTATAAATAGCACCGCCTCCAAACCCCCTCTGCCCCCAGCACTTTGCTCTGCTCAATCCCTCCACCTCCTCATCTTCATCTTTCCCCCTCTTTAATAAAAAGGAGTGCAGGTACCGAGGAGGTGTTACTATCCTGCTCCTCCACACATCCTTCTCCCTGTAGAGAGAGGAGCGACGGAGAGAGCAGAGAGGCAGGGAGGGGGCGAAGGGAGGGCGAAGGAAACAGAAAGGTTGCGCTCGCTCGGTCCCAGACTCTAAATGTCAACTCATGGTTCCTCCGCACGTTGTTTCAGGCTGAAGATCTGCACCGTGTCACATTTGTGTCAGAACTGATTAATACAAATGACTCACTTCATCCCCGGAATTCACTTTGTCAGAGATGTGTTCATTCAGCTGATGATTAAAGATCAGACACTCAGTGAACGCGGACACAGGCACAAGGTACTGAAGGGTTAAAGTAGAATATAATATATACAATAAATGCAGACAATCGTACAACAGTTAAGTCAGTCAAGAACTCGAGCAGCTCATTTGAACATTTAGCCGTATTATAGATCATCTCAAAGGCTGATCATCATCTTTAATGTTTGTTTGCATGTTGTAATTTTTATTTAAATCCATGTCAGTCGTCATTATCGATCAGAACTGAAGGTAAAAAATATAAATGTCCCCTCGTTGTTTTTACAGGGTGCGTGATTCTGCTTTTGATGTCATGTTAGCGAAGTTCTACGAATGCATGCCGATTGCCCGGGTGAGGATTTGTGACTTATTGTGACAATTCAGGGAAAGTGCACGAAGTTGAATGAGGAGCATCATCGTGTTCCACAGGCAAGCGTGAATGCTAATGTAGCAGCTGCTAACTGGTTATGGTGCCGTTAGTAAAACACAATGGCGAATGCTGTTAAGTGTTTTTCACCACGATGGAAAGGTTCAAATCTAATGGAACTGTTTTATTCTGGATTACCTCATGAGCGCCCCCTGCACAATCCGGACCGTGTGATTCAGAAACTCTCTGGTGGAATTCTGTTCAGTCTGTCAGTTGTCATGGAGATTGCTTTATTGCTGTCACACGACTGAAGAGTAGAGCTGCACTCATGTGACGACTTAATCCCCGTGGAACAGCATGAGGTGCGGCTGTAAGATCTGGAATGAGAAGCAAGTTGAATTGAGTTGAAACTTTTATCGGCAGTTACAAGTTTCTTGTCTTTGCTCAGTTCCTCTTTTTCAATAATATGAAAATACACATTGAATTTTCTTGACATTGTTTGCTGCACAAAGACACACACCATCGACTCCATATAAAGATGGAGGGTGTGGGAGTTTTCCAAAAGTGAAGCTAAACCATTATGATCGCCCCCTGCTGGCTGGCTGCAGTATCAGTTATTGACCCCGCCTTCCGCAAATATATTTTTTCTGATCCAAGATATTTTGTATGTACGTGTCATCCATCTTTACATTGACCAACACTGTGGGTATCTAAAACAATCTCACACTTCCGACAGTGGAAAGAAAGTGAAGGACGGCCGGGTTGTCGTCTGTGGGTTGCGATTGGAAGTACGACCCACGGTGTGTGTGTGTGTCCTCCCTTTGTCTCGCTGTCATTTGCCACACAAATAAAGACGGCAGCTGGATAAACTATCCACCAACACACACACACACACACACACACACACACACACACACACATTCAGAATCCATCAGTCACCACTGCAGCATCCACGCACCGACTGCTGACAAACATGAACACACTCAGCCTCGTCCTCATCCAGACAGAAGCAGCTCCCCGGAGGTTTTGGTCTGAGGCTTCTTCAGTTGGATGGAGTCGTCTGATTCGCTGTTGTCAAGAGAAGCACGAAGCAGACGCCGCACTGCAGGCTGGGAAACTGCTGCTGATTGTATGTGTGTTCATGTGACCTCGGAGAGGAGAGGAGGATTAGATGGTATCTTAGGATCCTGCTCCTCCTGTTATTGACTCCATTTTCCAGCCGCTTGTGTCTCCACTCCTCCAGGCACAGGGCAGACAGGTGAGAAGGAGGAGCAGAGGAGAGAAGGATGAGCATAAAGGAGTGACAGATCATAGTGTCCTCCTCCCGTCTTTGACTCCATGTTGTTGTCGTCCGTCCTCCACCTCAGACAAACCACCACCCTGGCGATAAAATATTCACCAAACCAATCTGACACTTTTAATCACCTCCATCGACAAGGTTACGATTTCACACCTGTTCATTTGCTTGTGAACAAGATTATGCAAGAGCTGCTGGATACATCATCTTGAAACTTGGTGGAAGGATGTGGTCTGAGTCAGGGAGGAAACAATTACATTTTAGTGCAGATCTGAACATTTTCCAAGGGAATAACTCATGAATGTTGACTGAACTTGAATTTGAATGTGGCCTTGGTGGAGGTATGTGCTCGACTGAGTGCCACTCTAGTTTGTTTGTTTGCGCAGGATTGTGCCAAAACTAATCAACCCATTAAATTTTGTGGAGGGCTGGGGAATGAACCGAGGACGAACCCATAAAGTTTCCGTGCAGATCTTCATATCCGGGCAGATGCATGAATTCCTTTTGTCTTTTTTTTCACAGTATGAACCTTTGCTTAATTTGAATAACAATATCTTGACCCTTGTCTTAATCTTAACGTTACTCATGTTTTATTCATGTCATTGTGTCCTCAAGTAGCTGTCACACTGGATTTCAGAGCAGCAGAGAAGAAGCTGATTCCTCCACATGTACAGAGAAACCCCAGAGGCATGCTGGGTAAAACTGTTTGAAAAAGACATGAGGGATTATTCACGGAACTCCCCTGTAGGGCTGTCGTGACATTACGGGCTGAGAAGTGTTTTCTAATTCATACATTTCCAGTCAGTCAGTCTAAATATACCAGCTGACAACAGCAGGTGGTGGTGTTTTTGGGGCTGAAACGAGCTTTTATGAATATTATTGCAAAATGTCCAAGAGTTGATCAGGGAGTACACAGCAAAGACACTCTCTGTCTCTAAAGATGGACAACGCGTCTCAGATATACAGCAAAAATATCCTGGATACGAGCGCCGCCATCTAACTGTCTGTGCAGTTGCAATTGGAGGATGGAGCCGTGGTACTGAAATGCATTCGACCAATCTCGAGTCAGTCTCAGATCATAAAGTTCTGTGTCATCGCATAACAAATAAGAAATAAACACCAGTGTGATAAGAACTCTTTAGTTTGGCCTGTGTGCCATCTACTAACATGGAGGAGAGATGTTTTACCTTTACTGCAGGCAGCCACCAGGGGGCAGCAGATACGCATTAGCGAAAGTTTGGTTCACAGTAGAAAAGAAGTGAGGCTTAAAATGTTACAGTTTAACCCTAAAGTTGATCAAAAACAAAATTTAACTTAAAAAAACACAAATAAAAACAAATATTTTGATGTTGAATTTAAAGAAATTCAGTTTATTCGGTCATAATATACAATTTTTCATATCGACAAACAGACACAGACACGGATATGTTTGTGAAAGAATCATAACATCCACATCTCTCACCGTCCCTTCTCTTCTTCTTCTCTGCAGCTCTTCTCCATCGTGATCTTTGGCTGCATCGCCAACGAGGGCTACATCAACCGCCCCAATGAAGTAGTGGAGTACTGCATCTTCAACCGCAACCAGAACGCCTGTAACTACGGCGTCTTCATGGGCTCCATGGCCTTCCTCTGCTGCATGGCCTTCCTGGCTCTGGACGTGTACTTCCCCCAAATCAGCAGCGTCAAAGACCGGAAGAGGGCCGTGCTGGCTGATATCGGGGTGTCAGGTGATTACATGATCTACAGCTGCTTTGGTTTTCAATTGTTCTGCACAGTGGTACGAATGAACCGTCTGAGATTCATTGAAACAGCCTGTGAGACGGTTAAAATAGCATTAAAATAAATGAGCACAAGGCGGTCAGAGATCCCATCAGCACGGTTTTCTAGCTTTAAAGATGTAACGCGACAGAAATAAATGCTTTTACTCTTTGCACATATTCAAAAGATTAACACACATCTGTCAAGGGCCTCTAGAATTTTCTAATTTTATGGAAATTTGTTTTTAATATCCAACTGTTGGATTCATGGTAACACAACAAACCACCTCTAATTTACTAATTGATGATAAGACACATGATGGCACAACATGAGATAGAGATTCAGTAAATCATTTAAGTCAAGTAAAACCAGCTGACACCTTCATAAACTTGAACCCCTCAGGGCTGAATGAAGTTATACAGAACAGTTTTGTTCCAGAGTCCACACTCATTCACATAAAAACCCCACATTGATGTATTAGAGACATTATCACATTAGAATGATTCATTTCAACCATGACATTGACTTTTTAGACTCTTAAACACAACAGTCACAATTCAACATTTTCCAGGAATCACATTCCCCAAAAGAAACCGGCCTTTAGAGGTTGTATTACAGATTGTAGAATAGGCTTCACTGACAAATGGTCGGAGATGAGTAGAAATGAGAAGAAGAAGTGAGACGTCCGTCCATCTATTACCCACAGGCCAGCAGGAGTCCCTTATATAACCTAAGCTGCATGTGTGAGAGGTGAAGCCGAAGCACTCAGAGAAAAAACCCACGTAGACAACATGAGAACATGCAAACTCCACACACACAGAGACATCGGGCCCAAACACATTTCATTTCATTAAGCACTTATTGACTTGTGTCAAATAGACCAATGTAGTAGTACCTAATCACTGGGCTGCACACAATATACTGCGCCAGAGTTTTTAAACTCAGTCGTGCTGCATTTGACCCAAAAGTAATTAGTTAAATATGAAGACACGTGGAAAAGTGTATTTTGTAAAGAAAGCAGCACAGCATTTAAAACATGTGGGACAGGTCTGAAATCAGTGATTCATGAAACAGTTAATCAGATTCTAATGTTAAACTTGTTGTCATGTAAGATTTGTACCCATCATATATCTCTAAATTTAATGCTGCAGTAAAAACACGTGTGTGTTACTAGAAAACACTGTTGTCGGGCTATTGCTTTGCTTTGTTTGTGTGTATGCGAGAGATCTGTTTATTCCCCAGGTTTTCCAGCTCATCAAAAAGCCCAAATAACTCTGTGAAGATGTGAGCCCTCTTTCCAGGTTATAATAAAATGACAAGCATACTGAGGTTATCACAACAAAGGGAGAGGAGGAGTACGAGGGATAATGAGGAGAGGAGGACTCTTCTAACAAGGCTCCGAGACACTCTGCTTTGTTTCCTGTGACAGTGGCTTCCTCTCCTCTGCTGCTGCAGCCAACTGAAGTTATAATGACATAAAGACAGTCAAGTGTTGAGTCGGTTAATGAGGCCGCTCCGTACTCCCTCCCTGTTGTAATCACTCGTACTTCTTCTCTCTGTCTCCAACCTTGTCCATGTTATTAGAGGCTCTGTTCTTTACTGAAGTCGGGAAAGAACGACTGGTACATGTGTCCTGATCAGACCTGGACGTTTCTGATTGAGCTCCTTTCCTCCCTCATCCTCACACTTACACCTGCAGTTGGAAAAAGTTTGAATCTCTTAAAGCCTCCTGCTCATCCTCTGGTTGCGATCACTGGGCAACAGGACAGAAACTCCAGCTGTTAGCTTGCCAATTTCCAAAATGGTGTTCCACAGGGGTCAGTCCTCAGTCCCTCGTTATGTTCAATGTCACTCACTCCAAATCTACAGTAAATCAGCTGTCGTGATCTTGCCTCTCATTATGTAAGTGGTATCATTAATGCATCATTTTCCTTGTAGCCCAAAATCATGTTGTCTCAGAGGCGACACCCAGTGGCCGGAGGCAATATGTTTTGAGGTTGTCCGTGGACGTGATACCTGAAGAATGTCTTGAGGGAAAACTATAAATTTGGCACAAACATTCACATGGACTCAAGGATTAACTCACTTGGTTTTTGGTAACCAAAGGTCAAAGATCACGGCCCAGTGGCCTCATGAAGTAGGTTTATGTCTTTCTTTGATATCTATCAGCACCTGATGTCACTTCCTCCTTGTTTCAGATGGAATTACTGCAATCTGGTTGTTCTAAATGAAAACACTCTCCCTCAGGTGTTGTCTTGTTATGTTTTTATTGTTATTTTAACACTGCTTCTGTATTTTCTCTCTATTTCTGTCTCCAGCGTTCTGGTCCTTCATGTGGTTTGTGGGTTTCTGCTTCCTGGCCAACCAGTGGCAGGTGACAAACCATGACGACAACCCGCTGAGGGAGGGAGGTGACGCTGCCAGAGCAGCCATCACCTTCTCCTTCTTCTCCATCTTCACCTGGGTAAGTCGCTCCTCTCCTCGTAACGCAGACTGCCATCATCCAAAGTTTGCAGCAGTGCTGTGGGTGACGTAACAGCCATCAAGCTGTATAAAGGTGTTTCATTGCTCTTCCTCCGTCTTCTTTCTGGTTTGTGTGTGGATGCGTGTGAACCATAGACTATATTTAAAGATGGACGACATGAAAGCCTCTAAATAAAAGCCAAATCATTTTGAGTTCCCCCTGGTGGCTGGCTGCAGTATAGGTCATAATAATAACACACTTATTTATAGAGCACTTTTCAAAAAAAGCAGCAACAATTCACAAATATTAAAATACAATTGTCATTTCAAATAAATGAACAAAAAGTCTAAATGCACAACAAGTGTTCATTTTTGTAAAACGGGAGACGTGTCGTTCATCTTTACTCACGATCTACGGTGTGAAGATTCTGTTGTGCGGGCATGTGATATCATTAAGAGTGTGGATGTTGTTCCAACAGGCCGCCCAGACTCTCTTCTCAGTGGAGAAGTTAAAGAATGTGTCATTTGAAGAGGAATACATCAAGCTCTTCCCTCCTCAGCCTCATCAGCCTTTTGTGTGACTCTGCTCAGTCTTCAGCCGTCTGCTGCTCTATCCTCTCAGCAGCTGGTCCCACACACTCCTTAACTGTGCACTTGTTAAAAGGTCCCCAGCCACATATACCTAATACTGCTGGAAGTGAGTGTATTTGTAAACCAGAAGAAGAACAGCTGCTGTCAGTGAGCTGCTCAATGTTTTTACTTGACTCCAGCACATTATCACGATCATTTATGTGCAGGTGGGTCGTTCCAGTGCTGAATTGATACAGATGATTCAACGGTTACATCACCAAACGCTGAGATTCGACTTAAACACTATTTAAATTCCTGCAGAACCGTTTTTGGAAGGAGAGCTTCCTGCCTGCTGGAAATGTATAATATCAGTTATTCATGTCTTTTTGATTTTGATGGAAAAGTAAACCTGGAAAAATAAACCAAAGGATTAAAACAAACATTCAAGCTGAATGTTTTAATGTTTGGTTTTTGTGTTCTCCATCTTTTACGTGGTTTTTCTGTTCAGGTATTTACTTTAGGACGTCAGGTTTCTGACGTGCGCACACACTTTCCCTGTAGCAATTTAGTTTGTGATGATTATTTATTAATTGTTAAAATGCATAAAAGTTACCTTTTCCTCTTGGTTTTTTGATGAAGCAACATTCATTCATTCAGTTTTATAGGAGTAGTCGGACATTTTGAAAATCAAGTTGGTTTCAGACATGAAAATGTGTGGAACATTCATCTTGTCATCTTTCCAACGGGACATCTTTGTCGGCGTCTTTTTCATCCTGAGATATTCGTATTCTTCCAGTTTTACGCCCGTTGCACGTTAGAAACATCAGTGGATTTCCCTGCTGTATTCTAACATGATATAAATTCAGATTGAACTATCTATACCACTACAATATCTGTATGTTCAATAAGCTGGAGAAAGCAGCTAGTTAGTTTAGCTTAGCTTTAAGGCTGTAATTTCATATATAACTGATCTTCAAGTGGAATACATTTTCTCATCGCAGCCAAAAGTGGAAGAAAAAAATGTAATTCCATAAATGTCTTATGTTCCCTTCTTTAAGTTTAGTCGGTAGGTTGGATGTAATTTGTTATTTGAGAGTGACCTCACTGTTAAATTGAAGTATTGCACCATTTTATTGCATATTCACTGGATTTCTATGACTTGACACTGACAACAACACTGACATCATCTTTCTAAAACCTTCAGGTTTGATTCCGTGAAATGTTTTTATGTTGTGATGGAGCCGAGACAAAGCGGTGGACTCTGTTCAAGCAGAGTCGGTGTGTCTGCAGCGTGTCATCAGTCGAGACGGATAAATAAAATTTCCTCCTGAAACTTCCCAGAACTCTGAGCTTTAAATTAAATCTACTCTCTCTGTGTTTGTCTTCTCATGATATCTGTTGTCCATATTGAAATCTCTCTATTCACAAAAGGGAGATCTGTGGTGTTTGATGGTGACGGGCCCTCGGATATTGAATAACGCACAAAGTCTCTTTTGCATGCACAGCTGAACGATGGAGCCTGTTTTGCTTTGCTGACTGGAGAACTAACCTAATCCGACTAAATAACTCAGCTTCACGAGCTTTTCCAGCAACTAATCAATGTTTCCTTCTGTCTTTTCTTCTCTCTCTCCTCCCCCGGCTCTAACACCACTGCTCACATCTCTGCTTCTTCATCCATCTCCACACCTTTCAATCACCTTTTCTCGAAACCTTTTCTGTTGCCTCCATCCTCCTCCGTCTATCCAAGGCGGCCCAGTCCTTCCTGGGCTTCCAGAGGTACAAGCTGGGCGCCGACTCGGCTCTTTTCTCCCAGGAATACATCGACCCCAGCCAGGATGCAGCCGGAGCCCCCTACACCTCCTTCGGTGGCGACGACCTGGAGAGTCCGGGGGGCGGAGGAGGAGGAGGGAGCCAGGCCAACAGCGACAGTGCATTCGATGGCACTGGAGGCTACCAGCGTCAGGACTACTGAGATGTTAGGATCTGGATGACGTTGCCCAAAGTTTCTTATTAAGAGAGATTTATATTGTTTCTATGGATCAATGTAGAACAGGCAAAATACGTTGTTAACTTATCCACCAGTTTGTTATTTTGACCCAGTGTTAGACACAAATTTAACAAATGTAATGTTAAAGATTGTCGTTGAGATGTGGCATAGCCAAAGGATACACCAACAAATTGTAATTAATGATAATGATTTAATTTTAAAAAGGAAAAGAATCATATTTTAGTATGGTAATAAAATAGTAATATTGGGTCAGAACAGTGTAGCATTGTGTTAGTTATGACCCCGTGATATTAATTAGAACATGCAAAGAATTAAACATTGATATTTTTAATTCTTATCCAAAATCTGCAAATAAATACAACACAACAAAGACTTTACAAATAGAAGCAATGACAGAAAAACCATGAAAAACATCAGATAAATAAAGATTTATGAATCACCGGGGGGGGGGTGTAAGACATTGTTGGATAGATCATTCAAATTAAAATCTGATTTAACACCTGAACCCAGTTCTGGCAACATTAGTTTCATACCAATATCAGATCAGTTATTGGACTTAAACATCAGTTTCTGTGGGAAAAACTACAGAATCTGTCTGTAGGTCAGAAATCTTGGGCAACTTCTCAGATCTTTGGGGAGGATAAACTGGCGGTGGAATAAAAGGTGTGAGTCTGTTTGTGTGGTGGTAGAGACGCTGGAGTTCGATCGGACGTCTTAAGGAGGGTTGAGGGATTTAGAAAGAAACGGTCACACTGCAGCAGATCGATGCTCGTGACCTCACTGCCTTCATCTTCAGAGGTCCACAGTCAGTCAGCGAAATGATCAGTGTTAGTTGAAACACCCTCAAACAAACATGTGCAAGCACAGGTCCACAGGCTTATCGATTATAAACAGTTACAAGGTTCAGCTGACGAAACTCCTCAGAGGTGCATTACAGGATATCAGCATCGTGGTGTGACTGGCAACTAATCCCCTCAGCTGTGAAACAGGAGTGTGTGTGTGTGTGTGTGTGTGTGTGTGTGTGAGTGTGTGAGTGTGTGTGTGAGTGAGAAAAGAAGTCCTCAGTTGTTGTTTTTTTAAGTGTGTGTTTTCTTGTTTTCCTCTCTCTCTCTCCTTGATTGTTGCCTTCGTGCTGACTGCCAAGCAAAATCCAACGAACACAGGGCAACGTGTATTTACCCATCATGCACCGAATCACAGTTCACTGAATTTTAATCTGGTTTTGGTTCCTAAAACCGCCCTCGAACAAGGACCAAGCATTTGACGTCATTGTAGAGCAGGTCCACAGTCAACCTACCACACAGAAGAGCATCAGTTTATTTATCTATAATTACTACCGTGAACACCCTGAATATTTATGAACATGCATTGCTCCTTTTTTCTTCAAGAATAAAGTATAACTGTCTCTATAAATATGTGTAAATCTATAATTCAGTATATTATAGTGTTAAACTAAAGATTATGCTTTATTTTAGGGCATTATGCTAGTTCTGTATAAAAAAGGAAAAGACAAAAGAAAGAAAATCTGTGGTCCGTTAAGTGTTATTGTGATAAGCTATACACGGTTCAGTGAGGTCGTCCACGCCTCGTCCTTTATGTTGCTTTCAGGGTAAGGAGATGCTTTTATTTTGGAATAATAATATCTACTATTTAAAAAAAATACAGCAACAAAAAATGTGACCAAATTATTAAAGAAAAGTATATCTGCACATATTTATACTTTATACTGTACAACAGTGTAGACTTAGACATGTGTGTTCTGTGAAATATGTTTAAAAAGTGAAGTTAAGATGTAAAGAAAAAGATTGTGTACAAATGTATGTTTTTGATGTTTTTGATTTTAACCAATAAAAATAAAGAAAATGCTGATAAAGGTAGAATTGAATCGTCTGGGATTTCTATTGTAATAGATAGAATTTTAATAGAACAATTTCTTTTAATCATAATGGCAACTCACAAAACACAACTTATTTACCTTTGTGTTGTATGATTTGTTGTTGTGTTTTGCAATTTGACCTTTGCGATTTGCACCGTGAAGCATGTTGAATGATTATTTCTTTAGACATCTAGTCAGTCCAGAATTAAAATCAAAGTGAAGCTGTTCAATGATGTGATTTAACTGATAGTTTAAGATTTGTTTGATGACTGCTGTGATGTTCTAAACTTTAGACACAGACCTCTCACTATGACTTCTATTTATTTACATGCACCATCAACACTTTATATCCTCACTTTTAGTTCCTCAGATACATGTATTATTATCACATCAGGACGTGGACAGTGTTAATTAAACTACAGACACATGTATAGGCTGCTGACAAAGTTTTGACAATGATGAAGCACAAGAGGATCCTCAACTAATGGGCCTGATTGCAGTTGTAGTTAATATTGAAGCCAGAGGATGGAGGTGTTGTCAAGGTAACCCAGAGTCATATTCTTTTAATTTCATGTCACTGTTGTTATTTACTGTTTAGGCAATTCCATAAAAAAAAAAGTAAATATTTAAAGAATCAATTCAATTCAGATTTATTTGTGTAACCAAATCATAATATACACGATCTCAAATATAAATATTTGTTATTATATGTATTTATATATAATAAAACAAATTCTTAAACAATACTTTTACATAAAGATGCAGAATTTTACGATGAATTTTTTTTTAAATAAAATTTACGTGCTCTAGAAAAATGTACAGATGCTGCCTTCAGGTACTGTGGGAAATTTATCAAAGCCCTTTTGCGTGTAACGACAACGAGACGTCCGGAGAGAAAACGCTTTGAAGTCAGGGCGAAATGTTTCTTTGCCGTGGGTCCGTGAACGCAACAGCACCCGTCCAACATGGCGGCGCAGCGCAGGACTTTGATGCATAGCGTAAGAAGAAAGCTCAGCTGAGTGTCTGTCCCTCTGTCTCCTGTCTCTCCTCATCATATACGACCACACGCCAGTTCTCTCGCAGAGAAGTCCTCCGTGTCCCTCATGTCTGTGTCCTCTTGTAGCTCCAGCGTCGGTCCCGTGTCTCTCAGCTGCTGCTAGCTGCTCAGGTTTAGCTCCTCGGCGTGTTTGCTAACAGCTTCCTCAAGTGAAACCTCCGAACATTGTGGGTTGTCTGCGACTGGTTGGTGGATATCGTCCACAGTCTCGAGGTGGAGGTGATCTCTGGTGTCTCGGCGTCGTTTTGGTTTCAACTCTCCACTTATTGAATTGGCTGAGGATCGGGATTAGCTTCCTAGCTACTTTGTAAACAAACGTGCCAAAGGAGTCGTTGGGTTCTAATGTGGAGTTTAAAAGTCAGTTTGTGAGAAGCGATGTTCGATTTAGTGAGTTTCACTTGTTCGGTTCCTCAGAAACTTTAGTATCTGTGTCTTTCCGTAGTGCTTCCTGCTGTCTGTCGGGTTCTGCGTGCTCAGGTTTCCATGTGACATAGTTCTGTGTTTGTTCATTTCATTCATAAACGCGTTTGTCTTTCACGTTGCATCCTGCTGATTGTTATTTCTCTTTAATTTACTTTTCTTATTAATTGTTATTAAGGGTTTCATAGTTGACTAAGGTCTATGTCACCCTGTGCAGACGTCTCAACTGTTGACACATATAAAAATTTAATTAAACTAGAATATTTGTGTTATAATCTAAGTTTTTCAGTTGATATATTGTTATTATTATAGTTATAGTTAAACTTTTGATCGTGTTTTCTAACTTATTTCAGTCAAACATGAACATCCTGAGTATTTAATGCTTTGCTCCATTGTCTATTTTTCTGTGTACAGATGTTAACACATAATTTATGATATTATAGTGTTTAACAAAAGAGTATTCTTTGTTATTGGACATTACTCGTACAGTAATTTCCAATCAGGCGGAGAAATGAATCTCAGAAGTAAAATGTAAACAGCAAAAAGTAGCATGTAGAGGTCAAAGCTATCTTTTTATATCTATATTAGCTATTAATCTATTATTATACATGTTTTGGTCTAAGTAAATGTGAATTAATATAGTTTTTTTTTTTTACAGTTGACCATCAGCAGATAAGCCCCACAGATTACTGCTAATGTTTTCATGTGTGGTTGCTTTTGTCCCATATATTTTTCGTTTTTTGCCCCTGACAGCATCAGAGCTGGACAGACGACCTGCCGCTGTGCCAGATGTGCGGGGTCGGCACAGCCCCCAACTGTGTGTACAGTCCTGATGATAAAGGAACCCAGAGCCACCCCAACGAGGACGGACACCTCAGGTTCAGGTGAGACTTCAGCCAGAATAGAGAATGAAACAAAAACAGTACAACTAACTGCTGAGGAGGAAACAACTGATTTATGTTCAACATCTGCATCTCAGATACGTTTTTTCAGTCTTCACCGAGACTAAATACCTGTAACATGTTTTTACACATAAAGTTTATTCAAATGTTAGAATTTCTCAAATAGCAAAAATGTGGTTGCGCTATTTTTAAGGTTATTTAGGTTTAGAAAATAAAATAGAGAGTTACTGTAAATTTCTACGATGACTCATTTAGTTGTTTTCAAACTTGACATGTCACATAGCCTTAAATATAAAGAAGCATCTCTTAACCTGCCAGATGTGAAGGATGTTTTGTTGTCCATAGTCTCACAGTCCTTCCTCCTCTAAGTGAAACAGGAGCCTCATGTTTGTTTGTGTTTTCTCCACCAATCAGAGGGGAGGATGGCTGTTTCCTGTACGGGGTTTTTAACGGTTACGATGGCAGCAGAGTGGCCAGATTCGCCTCCCAGTGTCTGACAGCCGAGCTGCTTCTCGGGCAGCTCAAATCCAATCACACGGACAGCGACGTCCGAAGGATCCTTTCTCAGGTCTGCGGGATTCTTCTCACGAACATTTCTACAATATTCGGAGCGTGTGCTTGACGTAGACGTGTGCAGGATCCTCATATCACATGTAGGTGTGTGTCGTTGTTTCTGCAGGCGTTTGATGTGGTGGAGAAGAGCTACTTTGAGACAATAGACGATGCTCTGGCGGAGAAGGCTAACCTCTCCAACTACGTCCTACCACACAACGAGGTACGCACGCACCGCACTCGCACTCTGCAAAACATATCGACAGACTAATCTGAAAATTATGATGGGAACTTCTCTGTCGGTTTCCATAGCAACGGCAGATTTGGGCATTAGCGTGAGCCTTCGGAGACTGAGCTTGTTATGTCCTAATTGGTCTCTTCAGCCCGTTTCATTAGATAAGCGCCTCTCTCTGTTTTCCCTCTCTCTGAGTCGAGCTCTTCCTGCCCCCCTCCCACCCTTTCTTTATTTTCCTCCTCGGTGTTCTGGTTGATGTTGTGGCCGGCCGCCAATTGTTTGGCCAACACAAGTTTAATAAATTAAGATCACCTTTCTCTGTTATCGCACTTTTTTTTTTTTGCTTATCTGTTTCTTTCATGATCACTTTCTCCTGTGTTCTCACTCATGTCTTATCATTTTCTGTATCACCTCCTGCCTGTTTCCTTTCTTTCCTCCTCCACCCGCTCCTCCCTTTCCTCTTGTTTTCACCTGCATTTCATCTCGTCTCAACGCTCTTATATTTCCCATCTCCTCTTTTATCTTTTTCTCTCATTTCCCATCTCTCCTTCAATCTGTTCACTCATGCTGATTTTGTTTTCCCGTTTCTTTGTTCCCCTTCCTTCCTCCTCCTTCTACCAACTATATTTTTGGGTTACCCTGCCCACTAACACCCCCTTCCTCTCTCCTTCCCTACCTTCATTTCCTGGCTGCTCAGAATGTGTCCTTCCACCAGCTTTCTCCTCAGAATCAGAAGGTGCAGGAGCGTTTGAAGGAGCTGGAGCAGGAGGTGTCAGGAGGAGCTACAGCTGTGGTGGCACTGATCCTCAACAACAAACTCTACATCGCTAATGTTGGTACGGACACACACGTTCACAGAACACCCAAAATCTGACTTTGTCAATTCAGTATATACAACCAAAGCACATTGGTACATCATCTGATTTGGAGTAATTGACGCTATGGTCACAGCCAAAATTCAATTCAGTATCTGCTTTACACCAGTAGATGGCAGTCTTCAGATAGATTTGGGTTTGCAGTTATTTCTCTCTTTCAAGTCAGACCTGACTTTCAGATCTGGAGAATTATCTGTGTGGAATCAACCACAAGTTCCCACTAGTGACAATTCAAGCGTCAATTCAGAGTTTGGAATATTCTGTTTTCCATCAAATAGACCTGTGCTTTGAAACTAGGGCCAGTGCATAACCAATGCGTGCATTCATGAATTGTCTGTTTTCCACTAAGTTCATTTTGCAGCAGTGCTAAAACATTTTTTTTTAAATATTCAATATTTTTTGGGGTCGTGCTCTTATTCACTCAAATACTCACATTTAAATACAAACCCAATCAACCAATGTAAGGATTTAAATATTATCATAAACTTTGATCCAGATTATTCATGCGTGCCCATGGTTCCAGACCAAGCTCAGTTTGTCTCACGCAGCCACCATGAAACGCCCTCCAGCAAACACGTGTTCTACATACTTTGCAGAAAGTGTATTTTCATAGAAAACCAGAGAACGCTTCCCACAGGTTCTGTTTTCTGTGGCTTTCACACAAATGCTGGAATCATATTGACTCAAAACATACCTACAGCATTGGTCATTGTTTCTGAATCCCCGGTGCCAAATCTGGCTCCTGCGAATAACAGCTGCAGGGGCAGTAGTGTGATGGGTTGTTCTATGTGTATGTTTATCTTAATATGTGGGTGGGTGTGTATTAGTATGTTCATTCCTACCTCGTCTGGTATTTATCACAATGATAAAAATGTGAATTCTGCTTGGGCACCTGTAGGGGGACCCAAAGTGTACCAGAGAGAAATTCTACCGTGCTTCTTGAATCTGATTCTAGTCCTGCTCTCTTTCTATATCACTGTGGTTACACAGCATTTCCTAAATCCCCTAAATGTAAGGTTGATTGCATCTTTCACTTTGTAGTCGCTAAAGAAAACCCGCCCCCCCCCCCCCCCACACACACACTCTTTCTCTGTGCATTCGTTTCCTTTTGTCTTCAAGGACGTGACACAGAATGCTGAAGTGTGGGGGGGGGCAATTAGACATGGATAGAAAGGAGGAGTGTTCTTCCTGCTGGTCGGTTGTGTGAGGGTCACAAGTTCAAAGTTGACAGAACATGAATCCCACAGAGGTTTCGACATAAGCGCAGGAAGTGGGCTCTGAAAAGCACTCCCAGCTGTCTGCTGACGTGAAATACATTTGACAGTTAAGGTCGTATGACCCATAATTTGATATGCTGGGAGTGTGTGTGTGTGTGTGTGTGTGTGTGTGTGTGTGTGTGTGTGTGTGTGTGTGTGTGTGTGTGTGNGTGTGTGTGTGTGTGTGTGTGTGTGTGTGTGAGTGTGTGTGTGTGGGTGTGTTAAACAGCAGACCGACTCAGACAGACTGACTTATTAACCAGCTTTACAATAACGCTTGCATTCCATTTAGATAAGAGAGGCAGAGAATTTGCCGAAAAGTTTTACCTCCTTATTTTAGCTCTGTTACATTTAAGTGTTCTTGACAGCGAGTATGAGAAGACCTCGGATAATCTACGGTGACATGTAAAAGTCTTGCTATGACAAATTAAATTATCTATGATCAGTAGGCGATTTGTCAGGGGAGGATGTCAGAAAGACTCTTTAATAACCTACCATCCCCTATAAAAGAGTGTGTGTGTGTCTGTGTGTGTGTGTGTGTGTGTGTATCTGTGTGTGTGTGTGTGTGCTAAAACATCTATTAAGTTTTTACCATCTTATGCAGACAGGCAGGATTCAACATAAACTTGGTAGTTACCACTTTCGCATCCTGTCAAATCATCTCGTCCATAATAAGTTCGGACAAACTGTAATTTCACCGGTTCGTGTTCATCTTTTTGTGAATACTTATTCTCTGCTTGTTGTGTTCTGTGGTTCCAGGCACCAACAGGGTTCTGCTGTGTAAGTCCAGCAGCGATGGGCAGAATCAGGTTCTCCAGATCGGCCGACCACACAACACCGACAATGAGGATGAGCTGCAGCGACTCACTGCTCTGGGTGAGACACAGATTGACGTCATGGAGAAGGAGGACAGAATTTTAAATCAGATTCGCCATCGCCATTATAAGATTGGTGCACGTCTTCATTTGAGATTTATTTTCATGCAATATTTTAAGTTTCAGTTTCTTTTATTTTGTTTGATTTTTAATTCAAATCAAGGCGATTTCAAGGATGTTTCAAATCCTCAGGTAGACGTCCACAATTCACCAATTTTTCAGCAGTGATGCCTCTTTCCTCTTGTTCTCAGCAGACTGCTTATTAACAAGACAGCAAGCATTTAGTCCCATGAAAGGTTAAACGGAGTTTACAGGTGATTTCTTTCATTTCAGTCGAGTTTTAACTTTGAAGAAAAGCGTTTTGCATTTGATTGTCTGTAATCTTTCTTTTAGTTTTTATTCCATTTAAATATCAGTGGTTTTTACTGATTAATAGACAGAAAGATATCCTGGTAATATTTGAATAAAAAATAGTACCTTCAGACACATCCTCCATGATGTTACTTGGATTCTGTGCGAAAGAGAGTCAGCCATTAGTGCAGACGAGCTTGCACTGTGTCATCTATCCATGGTGGACAGCCAAGCTAATGGTCCAGTAATGAAGGTTGTGTGTGTAACACAAAATACATACATTGTGATAATCTTTGCAGAAGAAGCATTATGTGTAGCCTGGCACCTGTAATAAATATTACGGGGAATTGGCTGCATCGATCCCCAGCGTTTCATGGGGCACCATTAGAGGAGGAGGCAGAGCTCTGTGTCTTTCTGCTGTTGCTCCTTCTCTTTGTCTCTGCCAGTCAGGAGTTGCATAATTGCTCTGTTTTTCAGGCCCCGCTCTGAATGATTTAAATGAAATGGCAGTCATTCCATTAACCCAGCTGAAGGTGACCTCTCCCCTCATATTTTCACCCACCCCTCCCGCTCCCTGCCTCTTCTTATTGCTCTTGTCTCATTTCTTTGTCCTCTTCTTCTCCCCCATACAAAATCTGCTGGTCGTGTGTCCCACCTCCCTAATGTCTCTCGTCTCCTCTAGGTGTGGATTCAGCTCGTGTGAGGCAGGCGGGCCAGATAACGGGGCAGAGCAGCACCAGGAGACTGGGAGACTACAGGGTCAAATTCAACTACAACGAAATCGACCTGCTCAGGTGAAGCCACAAACACGCTGCCTCTGTGTCCGTGTATCCGTGTTCAGCTGTACCTGGACAGTGCTGGCTTTATTATCACAGCCGACTCTGTTCCAGCGCTGACTTCTACGACACCTGAACCTCCTGAAATTCTATAATCCAGGGCCCCGTTCTCTCACATGTTCTCATTTCCTGTTCTTGTCAGTTGTTCAGGCCAAGAAAGTGCGGCTCAGATATCTATGAGTCATTCCAAGTATGATCCTCAATGAGACGCACAAAAGAATCCTTATAGGATTTCCTCCTTAGTGCCATCTGAGAGGAAGTATATAGTATAAGCAATCGACCTTTGGATCGATGGGTGTAGATAGATTTATTGTGTTCATTTCAGATGCTCTTACAGTCAGACATTTTACTGTTCGAGAGAACGCATTTCTAAACATTCTCTCCTCTTCCTTCTTCTTGTTTTCTTCTTTCTCTCTTTTTGTTGTTCATTTATCTACATATCTATCTTCTGTCTTCCTCTGCCATCAGTGCGGCCAAGACAAAACCAATCATTGCAGAGCCTGAGATTCACGGCAGCCAGTCTTTGGACAGTGTGACGGGCTTCTTGTTGCTCATGTCAGAAGGACTAATCAACGCTCTTGAGTCGGCTCACGGCACCGAACAGGCCAATCAGGTTCGTGGGTTCATCGTGACAGTTTCCTTCCTCCTCAACCACTCGATTTATTTTTTAAATCTGCAGTAACATTTCTCTGCTTCCTACTCTGCCTTATTTGTCTTTCTCTAACTTAAATGTGCTTTATTAACCCTTTCTCTCACCAGACATCCTTTCTCTTTTTTTATTAATGTAATCGTCTCTGCCCTCTTCTTGTAATCACATCTACATGGCCACTTATCTAAATGTCCATTACCGTCGTCTTTTTCCTCTTCTTCTCTTCTCATTTTCTAATTTTTCTTCATCCTCTTTATCACTCTTCCTCTAACTCTAACGTCAACATATCTTTCTCCGACTCCTCGTCTCCTCTGCTCTCTCTGTAGGAAATTGTTGCCATGGTAGCAGCAGAGCTGGCCCTCCAGACCAGTCTGGAGGCTGTGGCTCAGTCGGTGGTGGAGCGCGTCAAGCGGCTGCACCACGACGTCTACGTGTCCGGCCGTCAGAGAGCGACCTACTGTTCTCGGCACGAGGACATGACTCTGCTCATCCGCACGCTCAACTACCCACTAGCTGATGGAGTGCTCACACCCACTCAGGGTAGGATTGGTCCGCATATTGCAGAAAGCGTGTCCAGGGACCGACGTCTATACCGGTTACACCAACGCCAGTGTTCCTCATTTTGAACTTATGTGAAAGATATATAATTTTTAAATTCATACAGTCTGTTAAAGAATCATAAATCTTCATATCAGTGTTGTGTAACATTTCTGGCTTGTAACTCTTTAAAACAAATTAAGATTACTATCTTCTTGAGCTCTCACCACTTCTATTTTTAACTTCTCAGTTTTTTTTTATCAGGCCTGAGGAGATAAAGTTACACAGAATTCTGGACGACTGATTACTTTTAAGTTTTTATTAAAATCTGGGAAAGGAACGTATCTGAAATAAAGTGTTTAAGAATTAGAAGAACATATGTCCTAAGCTGATCCTAAATGTCAGTATCAGTTTTATATTTCTGAATCAAGACGTCCAAAATATCTTAACATCTTGTTAATCCAAAACTGTTGTTTTTAAAATTGTTTTCACTCTTCCACACTAGTTTAAATGAGCCACGAGTCGCTTCTGTCTCTTTTTCTTCTATTGTTTAATGTTGTATTTGCTTCCTGCAACGGGTCCAAAAGTCCTAACTATTTAAAAAAATAAAATAAAATCCCAAACTGATACCGTCCTGAAACCATGATTCAGTTTGATCTGGACAGAGACCACCTCTTTTGATTGGACTACATTTTGTCTCAGAGCTAAACTTAAAATAACACTGTCTGTCTCTGTCTTAATTTTTTTAAGTGCAGCCAAAAATATCACATCAAACCAAAATAACAAGGCCCAGGCAGAAAACAAATCCAGGTCTCCAAGACATATATTTAATCCTGAGCCTGCACGTTGAGTCTCACTCTTGTTTTTTCTTAATTATAGCACTTGTGAAAAGTAAATAACAATATCAGCTGAATATGACTCTTTTCATTCCCTCTTCTTTCAGGGGGTCGTATCTACCCTGTGTCTGTGCCCTACTCCAACAGCCAGAGCACCAGTAAAACCAGCGTCACCCTCTCGCTGGTCATGCCCTCCCAGAGCACCCTCACCAATGGAACCAACACTGCATCCACCTTGGAGGAAGGCACCCCCACGCCAGGGTAAGCTCCGTTGTCCTCTTCCTTCCGCTTGGTCTGTGAGTATGTTCCCTCCCACTCTTCATGTTTGCCCTGGGTACACTGGATTTCTATTGGTTTGCATCTTCTCCTCCTGCTCTTCAGACCATGAACCAGCTTGATTTGTTCTTTTTGTCTCGTTTCTGTTGCACATTCAAATCATAAACTTGATTTTCACTTCGTGTCCCGCCTCCGACTGTACATGTTTTGGATAAGCTTGATTTAACTCCCACTCTTTTACCCGGAGTTCTTCTGACTCAACACCTCCCCCCTGCTGTTTGTTTGTGTATTTTTAGATAACCCTGCCGTTCCTCCCTTGTTCTATTTGTTAAGTAGGCTTGATATTCACTTCCCTGTGTGCCTCCCTGCTTTGCTTATTTATTTATTTATGTATGAGCATGATTTTCACTTCTCCATTGTTCCACCATGAGTGTGAGGCCTGTTTTCATTTCACAGTGTCGAAAGGGCAGATTGATCTTTTCCAGCTGAAAAAATGTTTGGATATTAAGATTTCTTTATAAGGATACCGTGTATATAATATACTACAAGTATGTAGATGTAATTACAGCAGTAAAGTCACCTTTACTCTTGATTTACTGTGTTTGGCAGAAACAATTGACACAGGAAGTCATTCACGCTTTCCCAAGAAATTTTTTTTACAAATTGCTGCGATTTACTGGCCCCAGTTCTGCCTGTAACTGCCAGCTGGTGTCAACCACTGGCTTTTTCCATAACCTACATCACGGCTGGTAAAATAGTAATGGACTGTGTTTGTTCAGCGCATTTCTAGATGGCTACTCGAAGCACTTACAATACAAGTCACATCTGCAGAGCACTTTTATTTTATTTTATCTTTTCTATCGGTGAAGCTCCGGCATGTGGATCAGGGAAGCTGGGGATCGATTGGTTAGTCGACAACCCGCTCTACCTCCTGAACCACAGCTGGGTGTGATCACAGATTTCACTTCTCATCAAAGTTCTCTTTGACTAAACACTGTCCACAAAGCAAAGCACGAATAATTGAGGAACGCCCCTTAATCTGCTGAGAACTCCCTGATAGCTGCAGCTTCTGTTTTTGCTGCATGTGCCCCCTTTCTTTCTCCTTATTTCCCCCATTTGCTCGTCTGCAGGGATTACTATCACTATCTCTTCTTCCTTCAGGTCCTCTGCTCTGTTCGTGTCACTCACTGTCAGACTCACATCTTCATTTCTCCTCCTCATGGTCCCTGACTTACCTTTCCATCCCTCGGACACGTTTTGTCGCTCCTTTAGCATGTTTCACCCAACTGCCTGCCAAACCTGCGTCGACATCCTGCAGCCCATAATTGAACTCCCTCTTTCCCCCATCTCTCCCCTCCCTCCTCTCACCCTCACCACCTCCCTCTTCTCTCTATCTACCACCCCACCTCCTCCCCATGTTCTCCCCCTCTCCCCCTCTCTCCTCTGCCTGTCCTCCCGTGATATGGACCTCGTCCTCTCCTCCGATGCCCCCACCTGTTCGTCCTCGATTCCAACTCTCATACCTGCCTCCTCCCCGTCCTCCACCCTTCCCAACCACCCACCTTACTCCTCCTCCTGCTCTTTCTACTCCTCCGCTGTCCCCAGCAGTCAGAGCCCAACGGCGACCCTCCAGTCCACCAACACCCAGACGCAGAGCTCCAGCTCCAGCTCGGGAGATGGGAGCCTGTTCCGCCAGAGAGGAAGTCAGGCAGCGCAGCCCGACGAGACGGGCAGAGTTCCGCCCTACGTGGACTTCAGTCAGTTTTACAGCCTGTGGGGGAGTGACCACTGTGACGGCCAGAGCACCCAGGGAGGACTGGGACCCCAGTGATGAGGATGAGGAGGTTGCAGGGTGCAGGAGAGAGGCAGACTGGGATTTCAAGCAGCGAGGAGGCACGTGGATTGTGACTTTAAGAGGTGTTTGAGCCGTTAATGTATCATAACTAAAAATAAGTGACCTAAAGGTGCATGAAAATGGACGGACGGAGGACGGACAGAAGTTTTCATGGTCTTGCTATCAAAGAACTGTGAAGGTTTCACAACATGCCACAAAATGATCTTTGCTCTTCCGTAACAGATGCCGATGATGAGTGATTGTGAATATATGTTATCCAGATTGTAGCCAATTTTGTCAGGTGTAAAAACATGTAGGAATCTCACAGACCGAAGAATTCGTAGAGCTGAGAGTGATCACAAACTGTCAGGCCTTAAAATGGGATGAAATAATTTGAAAGTTATTTTTTCTATATGTAATGAAATATATCACCCGAATGAATCTCCAGACTCTTGGCGTCTCTTCGTGTTAACACTCTCACCTGCATTATTTTTGCTCGATGTCTTGAAACAGGACTTGTCTCGTGAAGATGGTTCGACATTACCTGTGGTGACAGACGGTCACGTACCATTTAAATAATACGTAATCATTCAAGCTTCACTCAAATGGACGCAGGAAGTCGATTGGGGAGCAGCAGCGTGGCACCGTGCATTCATATGTCACAACCAGAGGAACTCCACTGTACAGCTTCACTCTCGGACAAGCTAGAGAATAATTAAAACGTTTTATTTAGAAGATGATGAAGTGCAAACAAATTATTATTCTTTGTTTCTTAAAAATCAAATCAGCTCACCTTCTCTACATCCGACTGTAGACTGTATGTAAAACTGGACAAAAGTGTCTCGACCATGTATTCTCTCAAACGAGTCTACGATAAAATGACTCTACTACTGAGTTTATGATTCGGTTTCTAATCTTCTTCAAAACAGCAGGATGTTCGTTTATTTTAAAGTTTAGAATTATTATTTTCAGAAGGATCAAAAATGTAATAATAATGTCTGAGTTAGATCTGATGTAAAAGCGAGTGGAGACCTTCCCTTCGACAATAATCATGCAATTATCATGTTTTTTTTAAAACACAATCCTCATCATGAGATGAAAAGTTTTATAACCAAAACGCTGAATATGTTGGAAGAAGAGATTCAGTGTCAAACTAATGAAAGACGAGCTTCTGTGTAACAACAAGCGCTGACACAGGGTTAAATCTTAGCAGGGCTGTAAGTGTGCGTCCCTGGTTGTGAGGCATGGTCTGCTCTTTCAACACGACAAGCAAGAGCAGCGGAGGAGGACTTCTCTGACACGACAGCGGCGTAGCATTGATGGATGGGGACGATGGAGACGAGAGCAGCCGCAGATTGTGTTCATAACGCAGTCAAGTAAAAATATAATCGCACATCATGTGGTGGGTGAGGGCGGGGAGGAGCTACAGGAGGAGCTGAGAGATCGTTGGAGCAAATGAAGCCATCCATCAAAGTCAGACTGAGACATCACTCTTTGGGTTTTCTGTCACCGTGTGCCCCCCCGCCATGATCTCAGAAGCACCGGAGCAAGAATCACACGCTTGTACTCGCTGGCTGGGATGAAAATTTAAGCTAGAATTTCACTTTTGAAAACGGTTTTTCGATGTATTTCAGGACAGAGCCAGTGTTTTCTTCTTTCTGCCTCATTAACGTATCCCACTCAAAGGTAATCTGTTTCCCAGAAATACTTTCTCAAAAAGGGAAAAGGGACTTCTCTTGTCGGCAGGAAGTTTCTCACACTTTCACTCCACAAATTATAGATGTGCAGATATGCAGTCTGTGTTCTGGTTTTCCGTCCGCCAGTCCCAAACACAAACTTTCAAGAAGGCCTTGAGGAAATGTCTTTGATACAACTGTTCACTTGGACTCCCGGGTGAACAGATTAGGTTTCCGTGATCACAGGGTTTTGTTGACTTTACAATAAACTGGGAAAACCTTTATGTAGATTGAAGTTGAACTAGTTGGCTGAGGCATAAATCCACAGGGCTGTAACTCTCGGCTGATGTGTTTTGTTTTTATTTCATCCTGCAGATTCAGGAGTTGATTTCATCCCCTAAGTTACACACTGTTAGGAAATCTTAATTGGCTTTAATCAGTGAAGTTGTTAGAAGAAAAAATCATTTTACATGAAACCCTCAAATGACCAGTCGGAGCTGTATTGTTGCAGAGAGATGTTTAGAATCAAAGCACATGCAGGGCGTGTTGCTAATTGCTCATTTCAGGGATAATTGGTGTTTTCCTCCTGCTAAGGCCGTGACCTCATTCTTGAAAAGTGGGTTCAATTAACTTCATTGCTCCTTTTGGTAAAATTAAAATGAATAAAAAGTTGAATGTGACGGATGAGAGGCTGAACCGAGCTGCTGCCGTCCTTTAGCTTCCTGTTTTCTCATGTTGGATTGTCCTGCTGTGTTATGTGGACCTGCAGTGTGCTGCGAGATAAACAGCCGAAGTCAAGTGTTCTGTTGAAACATGCTGTGTACTGCGGAACGTGACCTCCTGTGCTGCTGTGATGGATGGTCTCAGGTGTGAGCAGCATGGCCTTGGATGCTGACAGCCCGGGCTCCGCTCCAGAGCTGAAGCTATAACGCTTTTGTTTTTTTTAGAATAACATGTTTCACTCTTAATGACAGGTCATCGTGGAGAATTATTAAAATACATCCATAGATTCATCTGGAACAACGAGAAGAGATGCTTTGAACCAAATGAAGTTATTATTGCTGATTACCTCTGCCCAGGATGTTCCATGATGTTTTGTGCACGACCCAAGCTTGAACCTGCTAAATCCTTCTTTACCTCAGAGAGATTAAGACATGCAGAGGTATTTGTTATTCCCTAAAATCTGAATCAGCCCGGTCGGTTGTGTCTCCTGTAGACAGGGCCGTGCTCGTTCTTCGTGCTTAGACAGAAGTCTCCTCGCTCTGACCTTTCATATTTAAGGAAAAACATGAAAAGTGGGAAAATATTTATTTCCACAGATGTCTGTGTGTGAATCAGCTGTAGTCTACACGTGTTACGTGTGGAGAAACTTATTGATGGACCTAAAACTAACGTGTAAAATCTTTCTTCCTCAGCACTTTGTCTGAGAACAGAACTGAAGTTTTCACTCTACATCCACAACCTTCAGGACTATGTTTCTGTTTTGTTTTTTTTCATTGGGCAATATTTGCATGAGGTGTGGACCGGTGTGAGTCTACGTGACTGTTATGTGAAATAGTGCAGCAACGCGCTGTGACACGCAACATTCTGTGGAAACTTTCCATTGTCAAAACAGCAGAGTCACTGTCCTGCGTCTAGTTTCACTGATAACATGTTGTGACCAGTCAGAGCTTCAGTGCATCACGTTTTAGAAACCAATCCCATTTTATATTTAAACCTTTGTTCATTTAAGTAACTGTTTCTCTAAGAGCATAACAGCAAAATAGTTCTAATACATGCTTACACATTGTGTAAATGTACTTTATGTACTTGTATCCACACCGACAGACTACAAGACTCAGTCATTACCGTTAGTTTGCACGTAGAGACTGAAAAATCATCTTCTCAAAATTAAAAACCTCATATATACAACTAGAGTGGATCTTAGAGAGCATACCTCCGCCACGGTCCAACAGTTCTCATAAATTCAGTCAAGCAGCAGCGTCACGCACAGATAAATATACCGTCACTGCCACTTCCACCCCTCAGCTGTTTGTTTTAGCCTGTCCATCAGGGGGCAGCATGGAGCTAGATATCCAGATCTGCCTCAGACCACTGAAGGGAGAAGTGGCCTGTCCCTTCAGCTTCAGACAGAATTTGGTTTTGGCAGCAAGGTGCCCAAATGGTTAAACACACACCCATCCTGTACCCTGAAGCTTGAAGGCTTAATCTCATAAATGCATCGTGTTGTGCAAGATACACACTGCATGTTTTATACTGTGTCATTCTGCAGAGTCAGAAGCTACATGCTGCTGAGATGTTGCTGCTCCTCATTATTGTCCCGTATTTTGATACTAGCTCCTGGTGATAAAAGTTCATCGTCGGTCGGCCTGCAGCTCTGTGGATTTGTTTCGAGTGTAAACACAAGTGATGAAGCAGCATCTCTGCCTCAGTTTGTCGCCCAGGAGAGTGTGGACTGTCATGTTTGTGCAGCCCACACTCACCTGAGTCTTCTCACCTTTAATGGCAGAGCTTGTTAGCGTCACCCGGGAGCAGGAGCACAGCAGGACGGGGAGCTGGCTGAATCTGGCAGCGCTGAGGAGAACCATGGGCAGGAGGACATGTCAAAGGTAAATACAAAAGACTCTTTAATAACACTTAATCCTGCAAACTGAGGAGGAGGAGGTGGAGGAGGAGGAGGAGGAGGAGGAGGAGAGCTCAGGGTGTGTGTGTGTTGTAAAACAGATACGAGACTGTGTGTCTGATACTCAGTTAGTGAAGGAGCAATGCTGGGATCTGCAGTCTGCAAGTAATTCTCTTCTTTTTTTAATTTGAAGAACTTAGCTTTTATTTTGGAATTTGTGATTCATTGTAAAGACAGTTACGTGGGGAAAAAAACAAGTTATAGGTTTTTATTATTTTCATTGTCGATAATTGGTCTACAAGCACGAGAGATCAGGAAGTTTTATAGGTGCAAACAGGCAAGAGTCTCAAATCAAAAACAAGCTTTTCGTTAATAGAATAGCTTCACTCTTCAGGCGCTGTAGCTTGGAGTTGGATGAGAGGATCCACATGATGACTGTGCTGCTTCTCGTACTGAAAAAATCCACCTTACATCGCAGTCTTGAAGATGTTTGGTGTTTTCTTCCCCCCACCTTCGTTAAACTTATACATATTTAGTTGTGTCTTTGTGCAGTTTCGTGTGGATCCAAATAAAATCTGTTGGATCTTGGTGGTGAAATTCTAGTGGTTTCATTTCTGTTCTGTCCTTTAGTTTGTTTGTCTGTCTGTCGGCAGGATTATGATACAACTACAGGAACCTGGTGAAAGGCTGGAGTCAAGATAGAACTCTTTAAATTTAGGCATTAATTTAAATCTTACACAAAAATCTTACCAACCGAATCTCTATACAATCAGAATCTAGCAATTTATATATAAAACTGACAATAAAACGTAACCTCATAATACTATGTTTAAAAAAAACATCAAACTTTATAGCAGCCACCTTCAACATTTTACAATCCATAAAGCCATATAGTTCGAGGAAATGGAGATTCTGTGGGCATTTAATATGCATCCCATTTTCTTCGATGAACACACACACACACACACA